CGTTTCCGAGGTCTGATCAAGGCTACAGGTGCTGCAAGTTTGACTTGGAATACTCAGAGTCCATGGACGTTGACCGTGCTGGGGGCTTCGTGTGGCTTATATGTAAATAAGTATGCATGCGCAATGCAAAGTGCACATCAACGCTGTGGGTTTGAACATTCACGATCCAAGCTGCCTTTTCCGGGGACAAACTTAGGACATGCCTCTGGGTGGTCATGAACGAAGTGGCTGATGCATTCAATATGCTAGCCCCTGTGTGTGGTTCCTGGAGCGCTGTCTCTAGAGGCAGCACGTTGCGGTCATACATCAACCCAATGGGACACCAACGCTACAGAAGTGTGGAATTGGGAAATCGGATGATGAGTAAGTCTTTCGACTGCGAGGAGGGGTAAGCTTTCTTGAACATTCCCATTTGGGATCTATCCATTAATTCAAACAGCCATTGGTTTCCCGGTTTCCCTTTACACTCCTCAAGGCGACCCGGTGTCTACCATGTGACACTCAGGTGTGTGCTGATTATTCTTCTCATTTTGGCCAGAAATCTGATCTTTGGAGTGGAGCAGCCACTGTTGAGCCTTGCACCGAGACATAAACGGATGGAATGGTTGGTCAATCGAGTGGCCTATGCCCCTCAGCTTTTGACCACCACAATGGATGTCCAAGGATTTACAAATACTTCCAGTGTTGTGGGACACCAGCAACTTGGTAGTTCTCCAGAGCTTAGGTGTACGAGTGCCATTTCCATATGATGCACTTTGACAAGCCCTCGCCGAAGCCTTCGCTGATGCTTTCCAACATGCCAACGATTTCAATGTTAAACATGGGGCCTCTAACGAAAGCTCAAAAAGATGCAGTAGACCGTGTTGAAACCACACGCACCTTGACAAATGGAGACCGCCGATGATTGATATGATTGGAATATGTTTAATCTCGCTGTCTATCTAATTGTGCGCTAGGTAAATATATTGATCGAGAAGGTGTCCAGCGTTTTCAGGGAAACTCCAATTTGAAGTCAACACAGCCAGGACCCCAGGGCCTCATCCCACCCAAACAATCCATCCCTTCTGTCCCCGGCAGGTCCTACACGAGAGCTTTTGGAAAGCGTCTTCTCGAAGCCTACGAGGTTGGGAGGCCACTCAGCAGGTTGGACCTGCGGGCCCGTCCCAAGGTAGCTCTCGACAAGAGCGACCGGCAGATCTTCTCTGAGCTACCCATGGGAGATATTTGGTATGAGTCGAAATGCCATGAAGCTTTCGAGTACCTTTATACCAGCAAATACCTAAGGACAGGAATTTGGCCCCATATGTGAGATCGATTGTTACATTTATTCCGATCTGCTCCCTTTGCCAAACGTTACTGCAGGATTCCGGATTCATGGATGACAACCATGCAAGATTTCCGGAAAGATCTTTCAGCCGAGGTTGGGTGGGCTAGTATGTGGCTCCACTATCTATATGTCCTTATCCCCTGTCCAGGTCAGGAGGTTGGATGCTAGCCCTGATAGCCAGGATTGCATTTAATTCCATGAAAGTCCACAAAGTGGGCTAGCTTTCCTGGAAGGATGCTGTGGGATAGGCTGGCCCCAGAAAAAGCATCTAGAGGACCCACTAACTCCAAATTCAGCCATCAGGACTACCCGCAAACGGAGCGCAAATTCCCGCAAACGGAGCGCAAATCCCCGCAAACGGAGCGCAAATTCAAAAAGTGTACGAACTCTAACTTTTTCATGCCCAATTTTGGATTTTGTAACATAATATCACTGCATTTTGGGGCCATCGCTGTACCCATCTGCATCTTTCCCTTTTGATGATGCTGGCGCCACTTGATAAACGAGTGGTAGGGCAAACAAAAGCATTGAGATCTATCCACATGTTTCACGGCTTTACTGCATATATGTTTCATGTCAGATCTTGTATATCTTTGCAGGCTCAATAGCTGTGACGTGAAGGGATGTCTGCACATACTTTAGAGTATAGTGGGTTGCACTCGTGCAATACTTTGGGCAGTGGGATTGAAATGGTCGAGCATGGGGAACATTGTGAACCGCCGTCTGACGTGGATGCAATGATTAAAGTACTCTAGCTTCAATTGGTTGGTACTTATTGGGGGTCTTGTGGAGCAAAGCTTACATGCAGTAGAGGGAACTTGTTTGATGCCCCAAGGCATCCCAGGAACGACTTGCAGCTGCTCAGCATCGCTTGGCCATTCTACAGAAAGACCAGCCTATGAAGATCCCGGAGGACCATCCCGCAGGCTTGTGGTGGGAGTGATTGTCTCTGACATGATCCGACATGTTAAAGCTCCGAAACATCGTAACTCCGCGCAGTGAACGCGCGCAATCAGAAGCTTTTCTGGGGTTTGGAGCGGGCGTGCGCAGTCCATCGCTATCAGGTTGGAGGCCAGTGCAATTAGGTTGTGGAGGCCATGGAGGTTCCATGTTTTTTCTCATGTCCTATAGGTGCTCCCTACATTGCTCGTCAAGAAGGAGAATTTGCAGCTGGTACAGCAGCCTGTGATCTAAAGTCGCATCCAGCCCCAACTGTAATTATTGAATCACCATTGACAGTTGTGACTACATCATCGGACATGGCTGAACATCCAGACAACCAGTTGGGTCTGGAGTCCCAGGGACAAGACCTGTTTGGTGCTGGTACCCCCGTTCCTTCTCCAGAGGCACCACCCCCCTTGCCTCCTCCAGATGAGATCACACCACCACCGCCGCCCGCTCCTGCCATGGACAGTCGTGAGTTGGAATCCAACAAACCCTCGCCAGAGCCAATTAAACCCGCACCAACTGTTCTGCAACCATGGAATGCCAAGCATCCCCACTACTGGAAGTGTTTTGGTTGCACCTGTCGAATTTGCAATGTAAACGTGCTTCAGCTGTTGGCTCAGGATGTACCGGTACTTTCAGCAGACCAAACACGATGGATCCCTCAAGTGCACGAAGGAGGCTCTTGAGATGTACCAATCCAAGGGTGGATGCACCTTGGCCTATTTGTCTTGCCAATCAGTGGAACTAAGAACCACATCAACCCATCTTGTATGGATACATAACATCTCAGGTGAGAAATTGGCGGAGCTTTTGAACCGCCATGGAAATTTTGCCAAGGTGGAGGTAGCACTCAAGAAATGGCATGAAAGGAAGGCCCGTTTTGACAAGAAAGGTGGGTGGTATACCAAAGCATGGCTGGCAGGGGAACGTCACTGGACAAAGTGCTTAAGCTATGCATGCATGTGTCTGGTTTCTTCGCTTCATATGTTTTGAATAGTGGGTGGTTCAATAAACCATGGAACTACTCAAGGCGTATGATTGACAACGCTTGGGAATGGGCAGAGAAGCACCACAAGAAGCGCAAAAACCCAGTTCACCAAGAAGAAGAAATTTGCTTTGTTTTGGATGATGAGTTCTTGTTCCGAAGCGGAGAATGGTCAACGTATGACTCAGAGTGGTGATTTTACCTTGGAGGACTTGGGTAGTCAACTCACCGTTCTATTTCAGCACCCACAGACATGTTTTCCATTGAGGGACACTCCCATATATCCCAACATATCCCAACCACCGGCCACGCTCGCGCATCACACCCGGAAGGACCCAGACGGTGCCTTGCTCGACGGAGACTTCGTTCCATCGATGTCAGCAAGTTCCAGCGACCTTGTCAATTTGGCCGTGAGCAGGTCTTATGGAGGTCAAACCGACGTGAAGAATGATTCTGTCAGGGCTGATGGATCATCTTTCAAGTTTCTTAATGAACGTTTAGCCATATCATCATGCAAGGGTCAAGTTGACGGCATGCTTGTTTCATATCAAATGTGGTGGGTCTTTGCGCTTCTGAGGTTGTGCTATCCAAGTTTGAAACAGAACACGTCACATGCAGAGTTGCTGGGTGGCTTCGTGGATGTATGTTCCCGCAAGATCGACAACACACAGAAGGTGATAGAATCTCATATTTACAAAAAACTAAATTAGTTGGCTTGCTGTCATACAAGCGTTCAATCGTGCAGTAAGATGGTTGGGACACATGCTTCTTTATAGACCTGGACGCCAAGGACACCTTGCACGCTGTCAACACGGCTCGTGCCACGGAGCTTGTTAGCTGCAAGTCAACCAAAACAACATATAGAGATATATAGAGATCATGAAAATGGACATCCATGCATGTGCATGCATTTGCCTTCCACCAGGTTGGTTTCCCAGATTGAGACGGTGATAGAGCAGAAGAAGAAAACCAACAAAAGGATGATGGAAATCCAAGGGGAACTTCTCGTTGATGTGTCGAGGCCAGGTTCAACATACCGTCTGCTTTTGTTTCTTCCTATCCCATATCTCCCAGCCGTGTGCCTGGTAGCGCTAGTAGGAACTTTGAGAGCGAGCTGCAGAATCTCTTCGCTTCCTGCACAAAACTTGACGTCACACTGAACAATTTCGTCACACGCTCCAAGCCATAGACTTATTTGAGTTGGCCTATGAAAGAAGGCACACACACACATACTCCTTTGGACCCGTGCCCTTTTCAATACTAAGGCAAATCAAGAAGCCTAAGGGATCTTTGGGTGGAGCGTCATCGAAAGCTGCATCCAAAAAAAGGCCCAAGGCAAAGGCCAAGACTAAAGCTAAGGGCAAGAAACAGCCCAGTGAAAAGGATACTTAGGTGTTCATGCCTCGAAGATGGCTTTTTGAGCACATACCGGTGGCATAGACTGATTTAGCCTATTTCCATTTAAATGGAGCACTAGCCAGAATGATTGAAATGCTTTGGAGGCTTTTCAGCGGCCACACATGTGCAAGCGATTGTTTCGCTGATTTTTGACGCCATGGAAAGTGGGGAAAAGGGCTGGGGCTTTGCTGGGTCCGGGTTGATCAAGTGCTACTTAAGAAGCTGAGCTCTTAAGAAAGCGGATTGCTAGTACTTTCAAGCTTCCACAAACCATTTGGGAAACCATGAGGAACCCGGGCCTAGCCTGACCCCGCTTCACTGCATGCACTAGCTGGCAGGTGAAAGCGATTCCGATGATCCCTCCGGTTTCTTGGTTGCCAAGTCTGTGTGGCGTGTGCTGAAATGTGGAGGTATTGTTGAAAAAAACTCTTTGCAACAAGAATGCTAGACTAGCCTCTTTTTCCGTCCCAATCCCAATCCCTTCACTATACCCTGTGCAATCCCCTTTGATCTATTGGTCGCTCCGTGGCCGAGGTTCCAGCGATGACAGCGATGAGGACATTGCCGGAGAGCTTCTGCAAAGCGTAGAGGTAGGCTCGGTTCCTGCATACCGGGCCACCAAGCTGGCTGGCATGTTTTCCCGCAAGATGAAGAAACACGGATCTTTGGCTGCGATCCCAACAGCAAAACCGCCAAACAGGTTGAAAAATGGTCACACCCGGTGAGCTGTTCAAATGGGTTTTGAAGTCATCAGTTCATAAGACATGATTCCCATGGTTAAGTTGAATGGCAACCTAGGAGTCGAAGACCGTGAGCTGTCAATGCTAGCCACGAGAAAGGGAGCCAACTTGGGTGGCAACAGTTGCCGTCGCTTGCATGGCTTCGCTGGCAAAACTGGGAAACGACTTCCTGTTGAAGTGAAGTTTGTCAGGGCCCCCATTCGGAAGATTACCAAGGCAAAGGTTCATGAAGTTGACTGCGATTTCCCGACGCTGCCTTTGTCATCTTGGATGAGGGCTTCTTTCGACCTGGGCGGCCATTTTTTTCTAGGAGGGAAGGACGTGGAACATATGAATGATTTCTCCCAAATCCTGGTTGACTGGTGGAAGTCATACAAACGACTTGACCCTGATTTACCCTTTTTCCTGGACTTCGGGGAGGAGTTCTATGGGACCAGCCTGCCAATGGCACTTCATGGAGATGAAGGGAGGGGGAGATACAAGCAGCCCATCATGATTTTTTCGTTCCAGCCCCTCATCACCAACTGCGATGGAAAGTCCAATTTGAAAGGGTCTGGTGTACGGCAAAAGTCCAAAAGGTTTTCAACTGCATGGTCTGTTGGGGATGCATCTTGGCCCACCTAATCCCACTTACACTTCTCCACCATTCTTCACCTCTGACCCCTGACAAGGGTGACCTATTGCACACGGCTCCTATATGCAGCTTTGCCTTCAGCCATGTATGCGAAGAACGACAAAACCATAGATACCCTCATGGATGCCCTGGTGAAAGATTTCAATGCCTTGTACAGGGATGGGTTCACTGTCCTTGGCTTTAGCTTATAACATATATTTTGATATTTTTGTATATTAATTTGAACCGCGTAAAGCATACTCCTAAGCGATGGGGAGTGACGCCAGCTCAGGTGAACATTGGTGGGAAGATCCTGAACATCAGGCCTGTCTACTGCGGGATGAAAGGAGACTGGCCATTCTTGCGAAAGATCTGTAAACTCCAAAGCGGTTTCCAAGCACTTCGAAAGTGCCATCTATGTGATTCCGTCGCAGCATGTCTATATATATATATATAGCACACTTTGACTTTTGGTACGGAAAAACTTGACCATGGGGTTGTTTATAGTCCTGTTATAGTCACACCGACAAGCTCCGAGGAATGGTGGGACATGTCTCGATCGGGACGTTTGCGGAACTTGGCACCGGGTTACCACAACCCATCCCCATACAAGCGCAACATGCATAGCCCGGTCTTTGATTTGGCTGGTGGATCTTCACCTCACAGAATCAGAACAGACCCGGTTCACACATATCACATTGGCTACGGGAAAGATGAACATGCCAGTGTTGTCGTGCTGCTCGCCTACTTGGGACACTTTGGGGCCAGGGGTTCCATGGACAAAAAGCTCGAAGATGCCTTCGAACGGTTTGCGACGTGGTGCAAGAGCAACAGCAAGCACACGTCAATATCGGCATTTAGTAAAAAGCAGTTCAAGATTGCAAAGGGGATGCCCGATAGATATTGAATATCTTTTTGTTTTTTTGAACTGGATGCCAAACCCATCGAGCGTCCAGGCTTATTGGTGGTAGGAGTTGGTTGTCGTGTGACCCACTAAGGGCTGGACTATACCCAACTAGTGGTGGCAAGGGGCATGACACTGCGGTGATGGGAGCTTGGCTCCAGCATGAGCTGGCCTCAGTGAACATTGCAGGATTGGCCCCTTGACATGGATCATGTTGAGGGATGATCATGTTGAGGGAGGGCTGCTTACATGCATGAGTGAACACATCACACGTTCACGTGTGGCAGCTTAGGAATGCAGCCGCTTGCAAATGGTGCAGGTCATGAGATACATGAATGAGGCTGGTTGCGTCTTCTGGAGAACCATATATGGGCAAGGACTGATCCTACCGCCAGGTGCAGCGGAAACTGCCATTTCTTCAGGATGGGCAATGATCGATTTTTCCCTGCAAATTATGACAAAATCGTTGTTTGAAGTCATTGGACTACTCACCCCAATATTCCCTCCCTGCTTAGAAGGCAATTTGTTTTCCATAGTATCCAACAAAGGAAGCCTATGCATGTCTCAGCAGCCTCACGGCGAACCATGGCTACTCTTTGTTCAGAATGAGACCCAAGCTACATATGGCAGGGCACATCCTGTTTCCAGGTTTATTTTAAAGCCGTTTTGGAAAACCCACTCGAATACGTGGGGGGCAGTTTAACCGTTTGTTGACACGTGGTTTTCCAATATATGTTAGCCTCTGTAAGGTTGACTATCCAGCATGAGTTGGCCACTACGGGCTTTGCATTGAACCCATGCATATGGATGTGCTGGGGTGACGAAGACTTCATCGGTCGCATCTCACGGGCCAGCAGGAAGCAGCACTCGAACTCTTGTCCCAAAAGGACCATTGAGGTGAGTCTCATCACCTACCTACGCCAGTGGAAGGAAGCTTTCCTCTGAGACCCCGGCATATGGTTCCAAAAAGATCTCATCAGCGTT